CGAGCCGGCTACTTGCCGAGCCCCTGCTTGGACTTTGGCCCTGGCGACGCAGCCGTATTCGGCACCTCCTTTGCGGGTACAGAGCCGGGCTGCATGCAGCACCGGGCCGAAAGTCCCCGGCGGCGTGAGACGGCGAGACGCAACAGCGCTTTCCAACCTGTCTGTGCCCCAGAGAAGGTGTCCGGCGGCTCTGGTGGGACCGCGGAGACAACTCCCAAAGGAGAAGGGGGCTGGGTGAAGCCCAACCAAGGGGAGCAGGAGGCCCCTGACCCAGAGAAGAGGAGGGCCAGCCTGGCCCCCCAGGAGACCCGCAGCGGAGGACCCATCATTGTCACCTGCAAGGTCGAGGATGCAGCCAAGGATCTTGTCCCCCCTTCTCCTTCTGCCTCCTCCCCGGAGCGGCTGAAAGACCCGAGGGATGGTGAGGGTTCTCCTTCCTCCCCACCCATGCCGGTGATCAACAATGTCTTCAGCCTGGCACCTTACCGAGACTACCTGGAGGGGACTGAGAGCTCACCCCAGGTCCCCTTCTCCAGGCAGCATCTGCAGGGTGACACTCCACCCCGAATCACAGGGAGCAGCCGTGAGCCTGCTGCCCTCAGCACTGTCTTGGTGATGTCAAGCCTGATGCCGGCAGGGACAGCGCTGAAGACAGGCAGCAGCACGGTCCAGAGCCAAGGGGAAAGCTGTTATGGAAAGGTCCCTGAAAAGCCAAAGCCTGTGCCCCAAGACTCAGGGTCTCAGGGGGGCAGCCCCAATGAGGCAGGGAGCGGGAAGCCAGCCCCCAAAGATGTCGTGTTGGACCTCAGCCTGAAGAAGAGACTGGTGAAAGCCAGGGAGACCCGGGTACCTGTCAGACTCATGGAAGGGACACTGAAGGGGGAGAATGCAGGGGAGAAGAAAGAGGGTCCAGGGGGGAAGGTGAGGGTGGGAGAGGGGCCCAAGCCCCAGGCACTGCCCTTGCTGCTTGAGGTGGCTTCTGGGGACAAGAGCAACTTCCAAAGCTCGGCCACCTTCATGTTCAAAAAATACAAGATCCTGCGCTCCCTCCTACCAAGCACCGTGCCCCCCCAGCAGACTGGCAGCCCCTA